ATAGCATATGTATACATTTTAAAGAATTTTATACCCCTAAATGATAGAATATTAAGAATATATTTATGGAGTTTTTGAAGCTATAATATTGTATATCTGATTTCAATGAAACATTAATGTATTGACGCATTGGATTTGATTTATAATGAAATTATTGTTGAACACACTTTTCATTCTACATAAAAGAAAACTCAAGTTAAGCTTTACTTCAAATTGAAATGGAAACTTATTGCAAACAATTTCAAAAGAAAAGAAAGAATTATACAACTAATGGGAAACTATCTTATTAACAGTGTAAATGAGAGTATTTATTATGTAAAACGATTTTATAACTAACCTAGTTAACCAATGGACTTATTTGAACAAACATACCCAATAACATAAGATGAACAACAATAGAACATTTATTATCAGCTCTCAACTGATTATGAACATAATGAGAATGTTATGGATGTCTTTAAAAAACCATCTATTAACAAAGATTTAAAAAAATCAAATTCACGTTTCTGTGTACAGTTTCGAAATTTCAAAGTGACAATTTTAAAAAAATCTCGTTTTAGTTCATTTTAAACGGATTTTCAAGAAAAACAGTTTAGCTTAACATATAATTAAGTCACGTAATGTAATTGGATCTTTTTTCCCGAATTGTAAATTTGATTCATTCTACTAATCCTTTTTTCCTCATTTCTAGTTCATCATCTAGTGAGTCAGTCAGTCAGTAACAACGTAGAACTTCGTACGTACGTACATCAGTTCGAGTTGCCATAACACATTAGCACAGAGATGCAGTGGTCGATTCAAATCCCGTAGTGGTAGAGGTAGTAAAATCATAAGCTGTAATCAGGAAAATTAGGGTTTGAAGATGTTATTCAAGGAGTATAATCCAGTGAAATAAATTTGGAAAGAGAAAAAAGGGACATGAAGAATTCAGATTAGAATTTGGGAGAACACAAATAGTGTATGCACCTGCGTCATTGCAAACGATTTTGGGCCATGTCATTCAGGGTCTCTAACCATCGGCTGCTATCATCTCGCGGTCCCCAACCAGGTTGTCTACACCTACCAACATGACTCAGTCCACTTGTCAGTGACTTCATGGACTTGTGCCATGTTTTGGTTTGGCCGCCTCTAGCTTTCTTCCAAACTACTTCTATACCACTGAACATAGCACGTCGAGGTAGTCGGTCGTTGGGCATACGTAACACGTGTCCCAGCCATCTCAACTGATGAAGTTTCACTACTTCATCAGTTGATTTGCCATCCTTACCTAGTACCCGTTTTCTAACAACTGCATTATTTACTTGGTGGTCCCAGGATATACGAGCAATATTTCGAAGACACCTATGATCGAATACTAGTAACATACAAATATCCTCTACTCTTACCGGCCGTGTTTCACTGTCATAAAGTAAGACGGAACGAACTGCTGCACAGTAAACACGTCCTTTGGTTGATAGACGGATATCTCGCATACGCCATAAATCACGCAAGTTGGTAAAAGCTAGTCGAGCCTTCTGTATCCGTGCTGAGAGTTCGTCACACACTAAGCCACAAGGGCTGATGAGACTTCCAAGATAAGTGAAGCGGTCGACACGCTCAACTACTTCACTCCCTATCATTAGTTCGGGTGTCAATGCAAACCAATCCCAAAGCAACATTTTGCTTTTCGAGGGGAGAATCGCATCCCGAACATGCTTGCATTGTTATTTAGAGTGGTCAGAAGACTGCATTTTGTCAGTGTCTTCACCAAACAGAACCATGCCATCGGCATATTCTAGGTCAAAAAGTGAAAATCCCGGTAGAAGTTCAACTCCTGGAAGTTTAGATGAGGAAAGTGTAATCTTTAAAAGCACGTAAACGACAAAGTTAAACAAGAATGGAGAGAGTGGACAGCGCTGACGAACACCACTTGAAGAATCAATTCTGATGACAGTTCGCCATAAGCTCTCACTCTACCAGTTGTGTTCGAGTAGAGAGCCTTTATAAGGTTAATGTACTTCTTTGGTACTCCTTTCAGTGACAAACACTGCCATAGAACCTCATGATCAACAGAGTCGAATGCCACCTTGAGATTGGGAAATACTATTATTGTGGGATGTCTGAATGTGTATTTATGTTCTAGGAACTGACGTAATGTGGATATCTCGTCTATACAGCCACGTCCAGATCGGGGACCAGCCTGGTTTTCTCTAGTCTGTTCTTTACGAGCTTTACTTAGGCGTCGAAGTATTACTGAAGCTAATGTTTTAGACACTATATTAGTCAATCTGATTCCTCTGTGATGGTCACAAGATAACTTTTGTCCTTTCTTATAGACTGGTACAATCAGTGGTTGAGACCAGTCAGATGGGATTACGTCCAGTTCCCAAATTCTACCTAAGACCTCGGTTAATCTCACTGCTAATACTGGACCGCCATCCTTAAAAATCTCAGGAGTAAACTTGTCAGGGCCTGCTGCTCTCCCTCGTTTCAGATTTCCTATGGCTTTTTCAACTTCGTAAAGGGACGGAGGACCTACATTAACTTGCCATTCGGGTTGACTAGAGATCGTGGGAAACTGAAGTGTGGCTGAAGGCCAGTTGAACCGATCCCTAAAGTGTTCTGCCCATCGATCCAATCTCCTGGATTGAGAATGAATAATATGTCCATCTTTCTATGAGATTGTTTCGCTAACGGTCGGGTTCCTAATTCCGGTTTCCTTAACGAGTCTGAACAATTGTCTGCTATTACCTGTTGCCGCTCCCTTTTCCATCTCTTGCTTTCGCTACCCACCACTGTTCGCGATCATTGCGTAGACTTCTTATCAGCTTGCGCTTAAGCTGACTCCGCTCTTCGTTATGTTTAGAGCCAGGTGGGATGAGTTTTCGAGCATCTATCAGTGCGGTAGATGCTGCTGAAATCCAGGGTTACTCCCTAACCTTGTGGTTTACCGTACTAGCAGATATCACTGCCGTTCCCACAGCTTTTCGGATATCATTACATGCTGCCTCGGGGTGGGCATCACATACATGGCTGCCTAACTGTTTTCCTAGTTGTTCCTGAACTATACTCTTAGCTTGACTATCATTAAATAGGCCCCTAAGAGGTTTACTTGCAGCGTCTTTCTTACGTCCAGTAAGACGCAAGCAAATACGCGCTCGCACTAGAGCATGATCTGAATCTAGCCATGTGCTCCAGAATGAGCGACAGTCTTCTATCGAGCCCCTCCATCGGTGGCTGATAGCGATGTGATCTATCTGGGTCCAACGTTGGGACGAATTAGCGGGTCGCCATGTTAAAAGATGTTTTTCCTTATGCTTAAAGTTAGTATTTGCAAGGAACAGGCTGTTATCTGAGCATAGCTGCAACAGACGGTCGCCATTATCTGTTCTTTGAGCCACGACACCATAAGATCCACCTAGGTGTCTTTCCCTATCGCTTAGTTTACCTACTTGAGCATTAAAGTCACCGACAACTATTACTACATCCGAGCGCTTAGCTTTTCGGAGAAGGTCCGAAAGCTTTCTGTAAAACTCATCTTTTACATCATCTGAGCTGCAGTCAGTGGGAGAATAGGCAGAGACGACGAAGAGGCAACGACGAGTGTCCCTATCTTTTCGGATCCTTACTGTTCCGTTCAGTCGGACAGCGCACAAACGACTGTCTACTGGGATCCAGCCTAGGAGAGCTAGTTCTTCCCTAGGACTCAATCCTATACATACGCCGGCGAGGCCACGGGAAGCAGAATCAGGGCTACCAGATACACGAAGTGTGAATCGAGTCGGTTCTTTATTTTGGTATGGTAAGGTCAAATGAATGACGCTACTCGGATCCTGTGTGCGCGTTTTGGAGACGCAGCACACATCGATGGCGCGGGATTCTAAAGTCCTAGCTAAGGAAGCCTGCTGTCCTATTTGGCAAAGTGTTCGGACGTTAAAAACTCCTACGTGTAGTTTAAAGCGTGGTTTCAGGAGACCAGGAATAGCGTTCCGCGTACTCGAATCGTTTGCCCTAGAGGTGCGAGATGATAAAGAGACGTGAGAAGGGTTAGTCATGGAGATATGAGAGGTATTAGGAGGTGTAGGAAGGACTTGAATGTGACCAACTTGGTCTCGTGTATTGTTACGGGTATGAGGGCTGATATCACTTCCCGGCTGCCCACACCGTGGAAGGGTATTTCTCGAGGAACCTGAAAAGGAAATTGGATTAGTGTTGGTCTTAACGACCTGGGAGCGTGACCGCAGAGCCCAAGGGACAACTGCTTGAGGCCGGTCGCGCACGACCTTTTCGTGGAAGGTTTTTAATGTGTTAGCTCCGTTCTTCAAAGGGTCTTACCGCCGGAGACGGAAATCCGTGAGGTAAGGTGAGGTGTGACATTTTTAGGGTCGACCTTTTCTAACCCCACCCCTCCTTGTGGGAAGGCAGCATCGCTGTAGATGCCGGTTGTCTGAGGGAAACATTTTACTGTTGTCACACCCCTCTACAGTCAGCAGTACGATTTTGCCCTCAGACCTTGAGTTGCTGCTTTTGGTCTTACCGTCCTCCAATCGACTTGCCTGGCATGGTAAAACCTACAGGAACATATGTTCCAGCCAATCTAGCTCGGTTGTGTCATCACGATAGGCAAGCTCGACCACCACGTCAAGGTAGCAGGTTCGGTCGGGCATCATCTTGTGAAATAATAAGTATCATTAGGTTATGTAAACATGAAGTATAAATTAAAAACCGACTACATAAATTTGTATTTTACATACTACAAATTGTATTGCACGAATAAACCTGTCAGTAGGTTACTGTGTTTACAGATTTTAGATTAGGATTAAGTAAACAATATTTATAGGAATGTTGTCAATATGATAAATAGTCAATACATTTTAATGATAAACTGAATTCCATATCTCTTTTTAGTTTAAATTGTTAGAAAAAAACGATTAAAACCAACAAGTTGCAATATAAATAATAATGATAGTGATATCTAATGAACTCTTTTTTACTAAAAATTAACGCCCAACAATAAATACCTGTTCTCCAAGAGATTACATTCTACAGGTGCATTTTTCATGATGACACTTCTAGTTGTATAAATTGTAATTGGTTCATTCAATAGTGACGATTTAGCATCACATGGTTCGTTGTATATTCCAGTAGGATTTATATTATTCAAAGTATTATTAACATCATTATAATTATTATTTAATGATTTATTACACGGATCGAAATTAGTCAGTGGTGGTGTAACAACAACACTGTCAGATATTTCATGATATTGTTGATTATGATGCTGATGTTGACGATGTGCATCAACACTGCCTCCACTAAATGGTATAGATCCACAATGCATAGGTACTATAATATTTCCGACAGGAAAAGCAGCATCAGACCAAGCTGAAAATGTATCTGGTGATTTTCTAGAACAGGGATTTGAACGACCTTTCAATCCATCCAGTATAGTATCAGCAAAATTCGCCAAAGATTCTTCATATTCTTCTTCAACAATAAACTAATACAATTAAAATATTAATATGCGAAGATTTATGAAAAAAATTGAAGTGATACAGTCAAAATTAACTGCATAACAAATAACATCACGCTGATGAAAAACAATTCTTAAAAATCACATCAAGAAGAACAAACAGATCTAGAACAAATGTTTATAAACAATGATAATAAGTAGTGGAATCGGAATTTTACGGGATATGATGCTGCTCATCTGTCGTTTAAGGAAGTTTTTATCTATGAGATTCATGAATGCCATTTAAAGTATGGGAATCAAGGCTGTTCAAGAGTGACATAATGCAATTTCAGGGAATTAGAGAACCAACAATGCGATAAACCTGTACTGATATGTATACATGGTGGAAAAGATTAAGGTTCCCTAAAAGAAGCTCTACCATTTTATGAAAATTTAATATTGTTAAATAAAGTCTGTGTACTTAGTTAGCTATTGAACCGCATTTTTGTCACTTTATTCACCAGGTACCTAGCTATGAGTCAGAGTTAATAATACTTACTTGGATGCCGAAATTGAACTAGGTAAAGTAGAGTCTGTACCTGGGTTTCAGTGCCCGAAAGCTGAACCCCATAACCAAATAATGTCGCATAGTATACTATTCAGAGCTAATCAAAAAAGTTCAATCACATTTTCAATATGGTTTATGATTTGGCATAACAATGTCTATGAATACCAAAATGTTAGGTTCACCGTTTCTTGGAGATTGCCTCAGATCGTCTAATAATGAATGACTTTAGTAACGACATTTAGTGAATTAGCTAAGCGATTGCGCTACAGACTTAGTTAAAAATGTAGGCTCTTACAAATTTGCGCATTGTATCAATATACACACTTTTTCAAATCAACGTCATTCAGTAACAGATGTTGTATTACCTCGCCCTTAAGGTAGACTTTATTTTCAGTTAAGTCAGTAGCACAACCCACTGAACTAATTCATTAAATTACGTTACTCAATTTATCCAATATTAGATGGTCTGAGGCAGTCCCCAAGAATCTATGAACCTTTATATAATGCACAGCAATGACTGATTATTAAATATGCTGAAAAATACCGGACAGAATATGAATAAATATCTTCATTTGATAATCGACTTTGATAAAACATTGAGTCTTTACTTGGTTGATCACTGATGTTGGTTAAACTTAGAGAATAAAAAATAAACTAATTTTTAGTGTTATCACTTCGAAGCACATGACTATATCATCACTTACTCCCAAGTCGGTTCACCAGAAATAAACCCTAAACATTTGGACATAAAAACGGTATTTCACCATAATAGCTTATATACTTTAGTTTATGATAAAACTGAACGGGATATCCTGCAAGGAGTAGAAATCAATCATTAGTACCAAGAAACTTGAGGAAGCGTGAATATTAATAGTTTGATAGTTTAAGAGAAGTTATTAACTACATACGAAGAGTGGCTAATGCAAATAAGATACGACTGGCCCATGAACGGAGACAGACAGTTACTCAGTATATAAACTATTGTTATTATTTGGGTGATCCAGAAAATTGCTTGCAAAAGACAAGCAAGCATCAGGAAACACTAAGAAGCGTTTCATCCAATCAGTGTTCACTTGGAGTCTTAGCCAAAAATATCAAGGAAGCGAAACGTCACATGCAGAGGCTCTGATTGGTTGGCTGCTACACTGCTGCTATGTTGAGTAGCATTCCAGAATCTTCTAGCAACCCACGGACATTTAAAGTATTATAAAAACCCTGTATTTTCTGTATTAGTTAGGATGAACCTTGGAGTAAGTTACCTCTCACATACTTGGGGTCTTCTCTCTCGTGTTCAGGTCGCTGTATAGTTCTAGCTTGGGGGTTACAGAATAGCTTAGGAAACGAATATAGCGTTCAATCCGCAAGACTTGTCAGTTATATGTAAAAGATTGAATTCACGATTTGTATTTTACATTTAGTGATTGGACTATATTTTATTTCAATAAACAGTGGTTCTGATCTGTTGTTCGCCTTTCAACTGTCGATCGGATATTCCGTCTGTGCAAACTCCGTGACCCAGTACGGTAGCTCAATTATCTCTTACAGAGGTTTAGTATATCTAGTCATACAATACAGCCGACTGTTCTGTTTATCAGGGTCAAGTGTAGTCAAATGTTATAGACGTTATAGTATTTTTTACCAAAGCTCGAATCTTTAATTGTTTTTGTCGTTGCATCACTATATGTAGAATCCACCAAATAACTATTGCGAATGATATGCAAGATAGATTGATTTTCCTAACCAACATATCAATTCTTGAGGTATGGGGAATATCGGCATAAAAACCATGAACGACTTAGCACAATATTAACAAAGTAACAGACAAAATTATTTGCTTTATATTAGATAAACTTTGTGGTTTATTTTAATATTAATGCGATTGATGTGTGAAATTTTTCAAGAAATCCATCTCATTATAAACAGATTGACAATCTACTCCAGGGTAAATATCATTCAACGTAATATAAGAGATATTATCTAATGTGTTATATTACATTATACGTTAATATGCTAAAAACCGTTTCTTGTTCATTTTTCTCACTCTCTATAGTTCCTGATAATATAAACAAACTGTAAATATTGTTTAGCAAATTTGATAGAATACTAATCTAAAAAGGGTAAGTTGTTTGCATTTAAAGCGATTCAGTTGTATTAGAATAATGAATTCAGATACAAGCATTTAAAATTAGTACTTTTAAAGATTTGACAATTTTCTTACTACTTTATCAAAATTCAGCATAACTGAGACACATTAAAAAAGATTTGACAGAAAATTAAATGTTGTAAATATAGAGAAAAATTGTATACAATGTATAACTACTGGTAACTTATACCTAAATCCGCTTCTATCGTGATAGTTTGGAGAAATAAAGAATGAAAACCATTCTGATGTGTACAACTCCAATTTAATGGGACGATGTAAGAGTTAACAATGTACAAATCATAAACTTGATAGTTATCAAGCTATTATTCATCATAAGCGCTATTTTCATTTGTAAAATTTACAGTTTTATTTATAATACGGAACATTTGTATCTTTTAACGCTAATCCGTCACTTAGTAGTAAATATTAACATGTTTGTCAAGTATCCGACACTAGTCTACGTGACTAAGTATAGCGGTGAATTTTGTTAGATCTTAAGAGCTTGAAATTAATCGGTAGGAAGCATGCGCTAAACTTCATTCCCATCAGCTTCGTTATGTATAATTCATAAGTCTGTAAGCAGACCGTTAACGTTTTTCCATTATTGGATTTTATTGTTTTATTCAGAATACTAAAAAAACAGATTTTATATTTTATGATTGATTTAAATCTATGGTTTCATCATCAAGATTGTTGATATTGTTTCAGTAAAGGAAAAATAAACTATAAACTTACTTCTGAATTGGGACTTGCATGATCACTGCCATAAGTTGGATTTCGAAAAGCGGTACTGGTAATTATCGGTGAATTTGAAGCACAATCAAATGGTACAGAAGCTGTTAAACGTCTTCCAAAATTTGGTGAATAGGAATGTGGTGATGAAGACGGTGAATTTTCAACATTCACATTGATGTCCATCTTAAATTTACCATATAAAAAGATAATTAAAAAATCAAGAGTTTATAAAAAGTAAATAGAAATTGAAGACCAACTTCAATGTTATCAGTATCATTATTGTCAGTCAGTCAGCTACAACGTAGGACCAGGCACATATGTGCATCGGTCCGACTCGACTAGTAGTGTTCGAGTAAAGAGCCTTCACAAGGTTTATGTACTTCTGAAATACACCTTTCAATGATAGACACTGCCACAGAATCTCGCGGTCTACCGAGTCAAATGCTGCTTTTAAGTCAAGAAAGACCACCATTGTCGGACGCCGATAAGTATGCCTGTGTTCTAGAACCTGACGAATGGTGAATATGTGGTCGATGCAGCCACGACCTGGTCTGAAGCCAGCTTCAGTCTCCCGTGTTTGCAGTTCACGAGTCTTAGTTAGGCGTCTGGTAATTATCGAGGCTAGTATTTTAGATATTATATTAGTTAAACTAATCCCTCTGTGGTTGTCACAGGATGATTTTGACCCTTTCTTATATATTGGGACGATAAGTGATTGTGACCAGTTAGATGGGATAACGTCTAACTCCCAGATCTTAGCTAAAATATCAGTCAACCTAATCGCTAAAATTGGACCACCATCCTTAAAGACTTCTGGAGCCAATCCATCTGGACCAGCTGCCCTTCCTCGTTTCAGATTAACTATAGCCTTCTCAACTTCGGCAAGAGTTAGGGGACCTACTTCAATGTTCCATTCACATTGTCTGGAAATAGAGGGTAGTTGTAGAGTAGCTGAAGGCCAGCTGAACTGTTCTCTAAAATGTCCCGCCCACCGTTCTAAACGTCTGGACTGGGAGCAGATGAGAGTATCGTCTTTTTCAGAAATAATCTCACTTACACTTGACTTATTAATTCCAGTTTCTTTTATTAGTCTGTAAAGCTGTCTTGTGTTCCCTATAATCGCCGCCTTTTCCATCACTTTTGCATTCGTTATTGTAACGTTAACCAACTCCAAGTCTAAATAGTCGGCTTTCAGTCACGTATATTTTTCGTACAGGTGAATAATATTTAACTGACTACCTAAATCAAGACAGTTAAAACTAGTTTTAGTATTCTGGATGCCAATGATTCCAGACGTATACGTCCATAGTGAAATATTAAGTATATTTATGTACGGAAATCTCATCGATAACGAGTAACATCAAAGAATCTAAAAGATTGAAAACCTATATAAACTTGAAATTTTCTGATAAAATTAAATCGCCTTTAATTTTATTTATCACCAAGTAAACTGTTTTAAGCAACTTATAATGCGTCTAGAAAATTTGCCTTAGAAACCATAAAATGATGTAACAAAATAACCCGTTAGAATTAATCATCAATTTATCCCTTAAAAAACTTGATGTATAATATAAATTTATTTATTTATTTTATTTGAACACATAAATATTGGTACAAGAGAGCGCCAATATATATGCGCCACACAAAACAATGGGAATTCGAAGAGAAGTAGAAAGAGAAAAACTAAGGAACGCAAAAGAAAAAGAGAACAATAACGAAGAGATTGGAGTAAGGTAGTGTGGTAGTAACGACGGAACGAAAAGGTACAATCAAAAGAAATCTTTCAGGTAAAGGAGACACAACCACTTTTTATGAAGAAAGTAAAAGAAGGTTACAGCAGGATCGCCACTGGCTTCTATTCTGAGCCATATCTGATAACGTCTCTAGCCACTGTGTAGCACCATCTCTCGGACCCCAACCAGGGAGTCGTGAAGGACCAACACAAGCCAGTCCTTTGCAGCTTTCTTTCATGCCACGACACCATGTCATGCACTGACCACCTCTCCGCTTCTTCCAACCAGTCCCAGAGTCGGCAAATAATGCACGACGTGGAATTCTCTGGGACGACATTCGTAGAACATGTCCAAGCCACCGAAGTCGGTGTTTCAAGATGGTGACACCAATTGCATTATCATCTCTATGCCCGAACACACGATGCCGAACCTCTGCATTACTGACATGGTGTTGCCACTGAATGTCAGCAATCCTTCGGAAACAGCGATGATCGAACACAGAGAGTCGTCTAACGTCCTCAACTCGGAGAGGCCAGGTTTCACAAGCATAGAGAAAAACTGCTCTCACCGACGCGTTGTAGATCCGGCCTTTTACAGCCAGACTAACATCACGAAGGCGCCAAAGGTGGCCCAGATTGGCATAAGCCGCTCTGGCTTTCACTATTCGTGCATTGATCTCATCACTCACACCCCCACCAGCACTTATGCAGCTACCCAGATACACGAACTTCTCAACTACGTCTATCTGCTCACCGTCCAGCGTGAGTACAGGATTGGAATCCTGCCAGTCTTGTAGAAGTACTTTGCACTTCGAAGGTGCAAAGGACATACCATACCTACGGACACTGATTGCCAGCTGATTAAGTGCGGGTTGCATGCCTTGGACATTATCGCACAGTAAGACAATATCGTCCGCATACTCAAGGTCGAGAAGTCTTTCTCCAGGCAACAGATCCACACCACCATTACTTACATTCATCAGAGCTGTTTCCAGAATGTCATCGATGGCAAAGTTGAAGAGGAATGGTGCGATTGGGCAACCCGGCCTAACCCCACTGCTCGAATGGAACAATGGAGAGAGGTGGTTGTATGCCCTCACTCTGCCTGAGGTGTTTTTATACAGGGCTTTTAGGATGTTAATAAACTTCTCAGGCACACCCTTCTTCAATAGACAATCCCAGAGAACAGTCCTATCCAACGAATCGAAGGCAGCCCTGATGTCAAGAAACACTACGATTGTTGACCTTTGAAAAGTATGGCGATGTTCTAACACTTGGCGGAGGGTGAAGATATGATCAATACATCCTCGACCAGAACGAAACCCAGCCTGTTCCTCGCGAGTCAATCTTTCTCGGGTTTTGAACAACCTACGAAGAATGACGGAAGCCAATAGCTTGGACGCAATCGGAAGTAGACTTATCCCACGATAGTTGTTGCAGGAACGACGTGAACCCTTTTTAAAGATAGGGACAACTATCGACTCATTCCATGACGTTGGCACACTCTCTAGTTCCCAAACCTTTGTAAACAACGTCGTCAATTCCTTAGTCAACAAGTCGCCACCATCTTTAAAAAGAGCCGGAGGCAAGTCATCTGGGCCAGGTGATTTGTAACGCTTCAAGAGTTGGAGTTCCTTGCGGACTTCCTCCTCGTTTGGTGGATCAGTCGTCACCGGCCATGGAGGGCAGGACAGTCTGACCGATGTTGCCGGAGCAGCAGGCCAGTTGGACTGCCCTTCGAAAAATTCTGCCCATCGTCCAAGACGTCGATGGATGTTGGTGATTGGCATCCCATCATCCTCGCAGATTGTTTCACTCACACCAGACTTCTTGCTGCCAGTGGCTCGGATGAGCTGGAAGAGCTTCCGGTAGTTACCAGATGCAGCTGCTGCTTCCAGCTCATTAGCACGCTTCGACCACCAGGCTTCTCGGTCCTTACGCAAGCTTTGCCCAATTCCTTTACATAACATCCTTCGTTTATGGTCAAACTCACGGTTACCCGGAGTAGACCGACGGGCTTCAATGAGTTGTACGGAACCAGAAGAAACCCAGTGCTTAAAAGCGGGACGTTTCGCAAACCCACAACTGACTGTTCCCGCCATTTTCATGGCGTCACGCAATTGCAATCAATTCTCATCTATACTTTTCGGTGGAGTGGTAGCTAGCCTAGAGGCTAGCTCGGTTCGATACTTACTTGCAACAGAAGTTGCAACCAGCTAGCTAACATCAATCCGTTGATGGCGTTCACTTCGTTGTCCACTGAAAAGTAAGGCAAGATTGGCGCAGACCAAGGCATGGTCAGAGTCCAGATAGGTACTCCAAAAGGAGCGGCAGTCTTGTACACAACCACGCCAGCGGTAGCTGATCGCGATGTGATCAATCTGAGTCCAGGCTTGAGATGCAGAGGGAGGACGCCAGGTGGCACATCGGCGATGACTGTGCCGAAAGTTAGTGCTAGCCAGAAACAGGTTGTGGTCTGTGCACAGTTGCAGTAGACGGTCCCCGTTATCTGACCTGCGACCAACGAGTCCCCATCGGCCACCTAAACGACTCTCTTCTGTGCCTAGACGCCCGACCTGAGCATTCAAGTCTCCGGCTAGTACTACAATATCTGTCGAACGCACTTTCTGGAGAAGAACTGATAACTGGTGGTAAAACTCATCCTTGATTGCATCCGGGCTGCAATCTGTCGGGGCATAGGCGGAGATGACGAAAAGACATCGTTTCTCACTCCGATTTCTTCTCACTTTGATGGAACTTTCTAATCTAACAGCACATAACCGACTGTTAATGGGGATCCAATCGACTAGTGCTGCCTCAGCTCTAGCGCTTAGTGCGACACCAACGCCTGCAAGACCAGACGAAGATGCCACAGGGTCCCCGGATAAGCGCACGTAAAACAAGCTTTTTGAAGTGACAGATGTAGAGCGAATTTGTAGTACTTCGCTAGAGTCTTGAATACGGGTCTCGGATAGACAACAAACATCAATATTAAGACTTTCCAAAGACATAGCCAGCCCTATCTGTTGACCAACCTGCATAAATGTGCGAACGTTGAAGGCAGCCAGTTTGAATGGCGCACGTGGTTTCAGAAAAACTGCTTCAGTACTCATATTCGATGGTAACATACAATTTTCAACCGGACAGTGACTCGAGAACGTTTAGATACAGTCGGATTTCCACCAAAGACGAGCCGCTGTATAGGTATCAAAGAGGGTGAATAATGTGGAAAATAATAATAATAATGATAATAATAACAATAATGACAATAATAGTAGTAATAATAATATTAGTATTAATAATGACAATAATTGTAATGATAATAATCTGAATCAATTGTTTGTTTTTCAAAGCGAGAAAGGTAATTTCCATAGGCATAAAGAGTTCATCAATTTGTGTGTGGGCTGTGATACTGCCCGGGTGCCCAAACCGAAGCAGGTGGTTATCTTAGGGGGCCACTCCCCGAGCCTTTGACCTAAAGGTCTAACCCACAAGGCAGTGGAGCATCGTAAGGAGATGCAGTCCCATGGTAGCCGGTGACCAACGATTGGTTCATACGCCATTCGTTCCCGCAGGATACTGGAGCCCATGTGCACCATTGATTTGGAATCCGGTTAAAGCGCCGGACATTCGCTTTTCGTCCTCTCATTTTCGTAGACAACACCCCCGCCACGAGAAGGCAATGAGTAGGACTTCCCTGGCAGAGGCTGTATACGCGTGGCCGTGTGAGAGTATTTCGAGAGGGAGAGCGGACTCTCCCCACTCTCGGCCGTACCAGGGCATTCAGGGGACAAAATCACAATTACAAATAACAATAACAAATTGTACCATAAAACAAGACAACTTCTACAAAAATTAAAACATGTGTTAACACACTAAATTATAGGTGATAACGTACACATACATTTACCTCGTCATGCATAAAATACACAGTGAAAAGATGCATATAAGTACAAGTGTAAATTAAATTTCATAATTTCATGAACTGTTTAAACGATTGTGACCATATTATTGTTTTCGATACACGTTAATATATAAATATATACACACTTTGTTACTAGGCGAAAGTTCGTAGCTTGATGAACATTAAGTTGCACTCATATATGCATGAAATACACAACTGAAATGATATAACTAATATATATATCGCAAATTATCAAACAATATGGTAAATTCGCTAGATCCAAACTTGTTTTTAAAATGCAGATGAAATGAAATTATGTTGAGCAATAAAATCAATCAGTATCAATATCATTAGACAACAACATTTACGTTGAAAAATAACTAACTACACTACCAGTTTGTGATGTGTACGAATTGTCAATCGGATAAATTTATCTTTTCGTATTGAATATTAATGGTAATTAAAAGCAACATTATATTCCTTGATCATTTTTATAGTGCGTACATTATAACTAACAATACCATATGAAGTTTCGAGTATTACAGGTTAAACTACATATATAGATGGAATCCATAAATTTAATTCAATAAAAGTAAAAGTGGAAAAAAATCATTTCTTCATTGTTGTTATACAACCATTTATCTTTATAAATCATCGTTTATCATTGATTTTCTTGCAAAACAGAAATTCTTATTCTTATGCATTAATCAATAAGATACTAGTGTAAGTAATGAAATGTTTTTTTTGTTGTTGTTCAGATCAAACAAAAAGCCTATCATTGAATAGATGTATCAATAACTTGAGAAATATTCAAATAACTTTGAATTGAAATTAATTTGAGTTCAGTATACGTTGATGTTACGTCAATATTGGTACTGTGCATAAATAATGTGATTAACTAAATATATATCAAGACAACGAAACTAACTAACATCATAATATGACATTTATAGTAAGATTTATTTCGCTCATATTTTTTCGGGAAACTCTAGTTGCATTATTTATACATACTAATGAATTGAAGTGAACGAACTAAACAGGAATTTCAACTATCCCACTTCATCCAAATGAAATATTTAAACTAGTTTTAAGATAGTAAAAAAAAACACAATCGAAGCTCTGATGCAAATGCTAACTGATCAAAACTAATATACCTCATAGCAAAGCAAGAAGAAATAATATTGCCAACGTTTAATGGGTGACTAAAAAGTACACGAGAAATCAGCGAAACTCGGTGATAAAAGATAGAGTATATTTCTGCCATAAACTTAAAACAAAGAATAAACCCATCTCGACGAATGAGATCTATTCTGACCTATACCATAGTTGCTCGTGAACTCCTACCAAAAATTTTACTTCCATACACAGATCAGGTCAAAAGCCGATAATCCCATAGATTGACGACACTCCTTGGTAACCTTCGTTTTTTCTAAGCTACTTCTAGGTTAATCTGAGCAAAGTGCTAGAACAGACAGTAGTTGAGTATATGCAATCGATTTCCAAAGTACTGTAGTCGATTAAGGCTAATAATGTCATTAATTTATTATTGTTTAGTCCTTGAATCAGGCTATATTTAAACTGTTTTCTTTATGTTGTTCAAAGTTCACCAGGATGAGTCCACAATGATCCATTTACTTAGAAATTAATGCGACCATTCGGGTCCTCACAATCTGGTGAACTTTGATGACAATTGAAAACCTTGCTTTCATAGTAGTCACTAACGTACTCTACCTAGTAATTACAACAAGTTCTTTCTGAAACATATAACTGACATTAGTTGACCGAGCTTAGAAAGTTGTTACCGTAGTGATCTGTATGTCTCTAAAGCAACTCAAGCATACATAGGCCTTAACTGAAAGTCGAAATCTGATCATATTATCTAGAAAGAGAAATGATGATTTGATTTGTTTGTGTACACTCTCAAACTGTTTAACAATACTAGTCGCAAAGTTAAATATTTTTATACGTCTATAAATGATTGTAGCTAGAAACAAGTAGCTTCTAGAGTATAACTATATGGTACGGTCATAATTTCCTTGGCAGATTTGAGTTTTTAAAAAATGGCCTAAACGTTATCCTTTTGGATAAGACCACCTACTTCGCTGTTAAAGTAACATGATACAACAACTAAAATTGAGTGTTTTATTTCTTGTGTGAGCAAATATTCGTCGTATTTTTAGGTACAATTAACAGCCCGAACCCGAAATTCGCCAACTTTGATCTTACATCCCCTCAGTGATCTATTTAACAAGCTGGGGTTTACGGAGCAACCATTGCATCTAACATCTTTTCTTCAAAGTTGTTTTGAAAGGCATGTTAAATTACTATATTAGATAATAAACTTTAAGGATGAGATCATATACGTCTTTGAAAGGTTGCTTTAGTGTGGTGAGCCCGCAAAAAAGAAGAATATTTAGGTTGAGTAAAATTGTATGAAGCTGATAAAATTGAAAACAAAACCATTAGATGTATGAGTAATTAGTAAATGATTTTATCAGCAGGTTTTTTCTTTGTTTTTTATCCTAACATATCTAACAGAAAATTAAAAATTATACTGTTCAGAAATTCTCATTGAAAAGGAAGGAATGACAAGCCTTATGGCATAAATTATTTAATTTCTCTATGTAGTTTTTGTTAGTAAACGATGTAATACGCTTTGCCTGCAATTCTCTTTACGTAATATGTGTAGGTTATCACAATAAATAATGTGAAACAATCAATGGAACTCGCCAATACATAGAAGTAATAACTTATCCAACTATTTTGCGCATTCGGTCATGAGTCATAATCCAAGTGTGCAAGTTAGTAATATTACTCGGTTACCTGAGCCGAAATAGACGGAATAGAGTCCAAACATGCCAATAATTTATTCACAAAAGTATGAATTGGTCTAAGTTGCCATACCTTGGGACCTACTGATCATAATTCGAATAACGTAACCACTACTAAGTCAAAATAAGAAACGAATTCCTTCCAACGCCCGCATTTTAATATAATATTATATATATACATATATATATATATATATATATATATATATATATATATATATATATATATATATATATATATATATATATATATATGAAAATACCACCTACTATTCAACAATATCTTGAATCATTGTAAATTTCTAAATCATTGGTGAACACTATTTATTTAAACACAAACATTGGTACAAGGAGACACCAAATGTGTGTGCGCCATACAAACCAAATGATTTGTGTGAGGGCTGGGACATTTCCCGGACGCTCAAACTGAAGCAGGTGGTTTTTTAGGGAGCCACTCCCCATATATACTTTTTGGTAAAAGAATAAGGATCTACATAAAGTAATTTTGAATACGACAATCTCCCTGTTTATTATAATTTTACTTAACTTTTATTATTAATGATCAGAAAACATAATCGCTTACCATATCATCATGGACAGATTTACGTTTTTCATTCGATGTATCAGTTGATTTGCTTGTATTAGATTTTGATAAAAATAATAAGCTAGGTGAAAATCGACTCCGATCTAACAATCTTTTTAAACTATATCTTCCCTTTTTCGATTTATCTTTTATATCTGATTGTGCTGTTTTATCCTTCATATCAGATTTGACAGGCATAACGTTTTTGAGCAATTTAATACAATGCTTATATCTTCCTATACAATTGATCTTCTGCAAATACTTCTAAAAGACCACCTAGATTTAGTGTATAAAAAGAAAGAACTACATTGTTAGTGTCATTGACACCACTTATAGAAAACAAAGAGTAATAACACGAGCACGGATTAGTGTCCAAGTTAAATAGATTTCGATGAAATCATATTAGTTTGATGGAAAGGTAGTTAATCTCTGGAAGGATGTTAGAATAATAACAGGGACGTAAAAGAGTCCAACTTAGAAATCATATGCGATTGCTAATGATAATTTATGGATTTTATCACCTAAGTAAAAAAAATGGTGATAGTATTCAAACGACAAAACCTCGACAAGTTGGATAGCAATCTTTGTAGCTCAGCATTTAGAACTCAAAGTAGCTTATAAAAATTAAATGGTTTTAGATGGTTGGATGCGACTGACAAACTGGAACTGGGTTTTTTTAAAGATGACATTAATCACCAGGAGGTATTCCCATCCTTAAGAGAACTGATCCTCCCAACGTGACAAGCTATTCGAGAAGTGACTAACTTGTAAAGTTTAAAAACTTGTACTATTTTAGTGAAAAAATTCTAATTGGAAAATAACAATATAGAGAGATCACATGTAGACAATGGAAAATGTGTACTTAATGGTAAAACGTTTGAGATTCAGGAGAAGATACAGTAAACGCATTCGCACTAATAATAAGGCTTTCTTTAATCACGTCTATGGAAGACTTAAACTTTGTTTCATAATATAGAGAACCTCAGACAGGAAGCTAATACTTTATCATGGAGTTTAAATTTGCGATCCACAATTCTGTGAATTGTTACTATGTCACCGTCTGATTTTCCTTTTTTAAACATCTGCATGTTACAGGCTTCTTTAGGTTCCATTTTATCACATTTATTACATGATTAGCCACTTTAGTCTGCTCGAATTTACAATCTCATTTACCTACTGCCTCTTCAACACTAATAGTTTAGTAGCTATTGGGATATTGTCGCTCCAAAAATCAAGTCGCATAGACACCCATGCCAGGCCACTTAGAACATTAGTTTACGTTTGGAAACCATAGTTATTGTGAATGCTTTTGTCGACTTCCGTTCACGACTGAAATAATGCAGCGAACTGTAAAATAAAACGAGCCAAAGCTTTCCATTCCCCTTCTTACCGCTTCAATTGTTGTAATAGTATCTTCACTACATCTGAACCTGGATGTTACAATTTGTTCTCTGTAATATATTTTTTAACACTTCTGCAATACAAAGCTTTTGAGTGTTGAATAAACAATTCATTGTTTTCTATTTATGTTGCCTTTAGTCATAAAATCCTAGTTCACCGTAGAAGTTAGGGAGTACAGGATAGATGATAGTTTCTGACTACACAGATGTGCAGCGTGCCCACTGGATATGAACAAAAGAAAAGTAACTTAAATTTGACAACCGATGATTTCCAACCATATATACTTTAAAATATTTTGGTTCATCAGAAAATATAAGTGACTAAAACCTATTTGAGACGTTTATACGGGTCTGTAATGTTTGCATAGACGTGTTGTTTGGTCTATCAATAAAAAGGATATTTTAAGAGCTGTGCCACGACAATCTCTTTCTGTATAAACTCGTTGGTTTTTAGTATGTTAAACTATTTAAATTTGAGAAACGTGTGAAAATTACTGTCAAAAATAACCGACTAATTAGCCACATATCAACATGAATTATGACCAAGTATTAGTGCCTTTTGAACGACCCAGAAAGAATTAATGCGAAATGGTGAGAGTTGTCAATTAAAGTGACAGACCGAGAAAAAGTTAAGACTGAGACTTCTATGTATTCTCCTGACAACCAAAAACTCCACATTTGTGTATGATATGAAGTGAGGAGTAACCTAAACTTGACAGTCAGATAGGCACGCATTGTTAAAAAAACGATATTGAAAGGACGTCTTCGTGAAAGAGATTCACAATAACATAATGAAACAGATTGATTTCAGATCCTACATATTTCAAACTAAAAAACACTGCACAGTTGCTATAACTACATGCAATCTGCATCTGCAATAAAGTCGGATTGTTTTATCCAGCAAAACGAATCACAAAGGGACCAGAATAATTGAAGGCGTAAATATACATAATTTGAAAAAAAACATGTGCAAATTCCAAGTTACATTATCGAAATATATTACGCTTGAGATGTCTGTAGTACATTTGTCACTAGAAGAATGCACGAAAACGAAGATACGAAACAAACGAAAACTCATGTGAAACATTTTTGTATTATAAACTATGCAACTAACAAGCTGAACACACTACACTAAGTTGAGGTGTTTAACGCAAATCAAACACAAGAACTTTGATGTTGACTCCATAAAGCCATGTTTTGACACTAGGAAATAAACGAAACACTTTGAAATGTGTGATTTTACCAATAAAAGCCGCAGAAGATAAATCACAGAAAGTACCTTACACAGCTTAAGACAAAAGTCCCGAAAGTAACGTACTAGTCAAATATGTGCCAGTATGATCAGCCTTGTGTTCGAAATTCAGCAGTTAACAGAAAATGTATTGCTATGATAATTTAACACATAAGAGATTGTATGAAAAGTTCTAATCTCTGATGAATTCACAAAAAGACGGTGACGCTTCACCTAATGAAATGGTCGAATATCCTGAATTCTCATGTTATTTCCTAATTTTGTTATAGTCTTATTATAGTTGGAACAAGCCACTTTAAACTTATGGATGAACACTTTGAGGCTGTAAATAGGTTCTTCCTAAAGAATCCTTTATGAAAGGTAAGGACTCTAAAACCCTGAGGATTCGCCTTTTCTTGCTTTAGTGCCAAATTCTAGATTTTCCCTTAACCGATATTTATGAGAAAGTACTACATTTTTCAGGTCACACTCCGATAGTTTCCATATCTCTGTGAGTTAGTGTTGTAATTAGATGGTCAAAAGGTAAATTGGTTCTTTTGTTAGTATGACCTGTCGTTTAACAAACATCATACCGTTTGGTTAATCTACAGTGACATGTATGTTCAGTGATTTTCGTAATGACTATATATATATATATATATATATATATATATATATATATATATATATATCCGGTATTTGTTGTTTGTTTGTAATAATCGTAAGACGGACGGAATTTAATAACTGGTTATTCTAACACATACGCTACTGTTAGTATTGAAGTAAATACTATTTCCTTCTTCCATGTTTCTACTTTATTGGTCACGTCCTGTAACTGACGGCCTATGCTCCATTAGGAGTAACAGGCGTAAGTAAGTAAGTGAGTAAGCCTGTAACTGAAGATTATAATAGTGTTATAACATCATTTCGGGCTAGTCTACACTTCGTATGACTCTTGATCTGGATTATTATTTATAACACTATGGGATGAATATTTCGCTTCATGATGTCGGTTTCAACGATACGGAAAAACCATTTTTACTTATTTGAACTGTATTTGTGATTGAAATCCCAGAAGTAGCTTACGAGTAACATTCGTCTCACAACAACTGTTATCACCCTTTTGTTTGGTATACCATTTTTAATTAAGTGTTATTTGTTATTTTGCTTTATTGATAAACAGTCACTTCGGTTTACAGTGTTGATATATTTTAAGGTATATTGCTAGTAACTTTGCGCGTTGTTGCATCTTGAATAAGTTCTTTACCTGGTGTCCACTACAAATCTAGATGCAATCTCATGTTCGTACCGATGTTAATCATTCAGCAACGTCGTTATACAATAATACCAGTAAGGCCAATAGCATACATAATTCTATTACGCGTATTAAAATTTCTGGAATCTTAAGAGTTACACCTCATCACGAAATTTGTATAATATTAATTCCGCAATGGACGAATTGTGTGTGGAGGTAAATAAATCCCGAAAACAAATAGTTCTGTAAGTCTTTGGCATTGAAGCTGACCCCATTCGTTTTACTAAACACACCTAGCTGAAAGCATTCGGTCACACTTCAGCACCAGATCACGAGTAGGTACGCCGTACTACGTGCCCCTTGCAACTGTTAAACAGATTAGACCAAACGCTTATCGACAAATCGATAGCTTTGCAAGCATATCTTCGTACAATGGCATTCCTGACTTTTGATTTGACTGGGTTTGCATGTTTCGGTTATAAAGGTGTTACGTGTAAAGACGTTTTCACACTCCGAATGCCTGTGGCATCGTAGAATGTCTGGGATCAAAAACAAACTCACTGTCTACTGGCCAAAAGTATGACAGTTTTCTTCAATATTAAGAAACAACTTACTTTATTCATATGGCCTTTAATGATTTGAAATTAATTAATATGTTAACTATCATATTATGGAGTAAGATTCATATTGTATTGTCGTATGCAAAAATAAAGAAAATCCCTGCTTGTCTGTTTTTCTTATAACCACCCTTTTGCGTCTCTACAGTATGTGTAGTTCCTTTTATTGTTGTTCTTATTTCGTGTACTGATTCCTATTCTTGAGTTTGATTGCAGTTATTATTGCTATATTGTCTAAAAGTTCTAGATCATTACTATTTCCCTATTGTTGTTGAGTCTTTCAATGACTCTTTTATATTTGTTTTATTCACCATCGTTTTTATGACACACACCAGATCAGTCCGCCATACTTTGGCTGATACTTGTGGAGCGGATTGTCCCTAATTCCTGAGGTTAATTTTTAAACATTCCGTGTTTGATTTTAGAAACGTTCAGTATTATTCACTGCTGGTTACTTATATTCTCAGCAAACCGAATTGACCTATCGTCCTTTTTTAGGTAGGATATTACTAATGAATGATAGATCTTTTTCCTGTCGTGACAGTTGGGTTTTCCCAGGTGTCTGTACCAGTTAGATAAAATGCCATTCAGTATCTATCCTGTGTATATTCTACACTATTTTGAATGGTTGTTCTGCTATTATAAACGAGTTTTTGGCTATTATCGTCTTGTGAATTATCGAACTTGGGGTTGTGTGACTGAAATTTCAACTTTTGGACAAACACATTGAAACAGCCTGAGTTCCGGATCTTACAAATGATGTGATCTCTAATCCGAAACTGCATCCATCGACAACACTTTCCAGATACCGTTAGAGATATTTTATCACTTTCACTAAACACAGATTTGATTTAATTTCTAGCGTAGTACGTCTAGCATCAGCATTCTCCCTGAACCTACTTGCTACTTATCTTTCATTCGTTTTCAAAAATTTGCGAACTTAAAATTTAGTCCACAAGAATTTGTTTTCAGGTTTATAGTTTCTAACCAATCTTAACCTGTCTGTAAATCATGTAGACCATATATGTCAGTGTGTAGATGCTTATCGTTAAAAAAATCTTTTCACTTTTGAAGTGACTAATGTAAATGCTACTTTGACAGAAAATCAAATGTCTAGCCAGCCAGACGTATACATTTAATGATTTACCATTGCTGATATTTTCTGTCAAACTGACTTGTTGTCTTTCTGGTTCCCTTACATATGAGATATTATTCAGAAAATTCGAATTCCCAAGTTGATAAGCGGATTCTTCATTTTTCACTGGAACGAAAAATGTTTCTGCTGCTTTGAATTTCACCTTTCCGCTCATAACTGACCGGTAAAATCAATCGCCTACATCCAAGATTCCAGAGTTGTGACTAATATCAATGTTAGATAAGGTTTAATGACCATTGTGTCTACTTCATGTAACTTTTGAAGTATTAGAAAGTGGAGTATAATAGAGTTTTAAACACAGTATCAGTATATAGAAGACTCCAATTCCATGGTTTTTTTCGATACGGAGAATAATAACCTTAGAAATTTTTACCAAGGTGTTATTTTTATGAGAACATCAATCTACGGAGATGGTTGTTTTCGGAAACCCTCGAGTTCTCGAAATAGAATCCCCACAAATCGATTTTCTAGATAGCAGCGCACATTGATCGATATAGACAAAACACAATAATTGGGTAAAGGTATTAATACTAGATTCACACAAAATAAGTGTAGAGTTACGAGTCGAATACTTTCTGAGATAAGCTGTGCAGGTCACTTATCTCTACGAAACAGGATAAAACCAAACTCCAAAATTCTTAACATCAAAAACATTAATAACTACAACGCTGGTCACTATTAAAAGATACACTAGGTTCCTGACATACAACGAACGCAGTACCACTTGACTGAATGAACCACTCGAACCCAAAATATGGCAGGAACGCCGGTAATCTCGACGATTGGTTACTTGGCAAAGGCAATAAACTGTTCTAACGAACGGGGGGCATACCTTAATTCAAAAAAGAATAATCCAAATTATCCTGTCTATTAGGTGTAATCAAGCACTAGATAACCCACATGTCCGCCCCTATAATATAATGTCAAATAAAAAATCGATACTACTCAGGTAACACTAAAACTAGAAGCAGTAAAACAAGATAAACCTAACTGCAAACAAATATTTGAACTGACCCTACTTTAGATCAAACTTCATATACCATGGGTAAGATGGGAAGCCTAGTAATCAAGGAGAAATAAAATGTTGACTTCACGTAACATTCATACAAAAGATGTTTACCCACCATTACCTACACTCACACAAACAACGATTGGGGAGAGTATTTCAGATGTCACAAAATCTTGGCGGAATAGAGAGTGACAATTCAAAATCTGAAATTTGTTTTTTTATCAGCGTCAGTTGGAGTAACAACCCTCTTAATAGGTTGTGGTGTCATGGTTTCACGAGAGTAGTCTCATTAATATGATATGAGAGAAGCATTGATTACTTCTCTGTTCTTGCCAGCACGATGTTGTCCACCAGAATTCTGATAAACAACATATACAGGATTTTGATAGAGCAGTGAGAAGACAGAATTGATCTAAAAAACGTGGTGTATTTGCTCTATACATTTCGAATAATCTGGTCATGCATATACATGTCAGGGCATTTTATATGAAAATTGTTAAAGGTCAAATAAATAAAAGTTCAGGTAAAAAAAGTTAATAAAAGAGAAACATTTTACATCGTATAGAAAGAATAGGAAGTTGTTGCATTGCTCTAGACCATAAAATGACTTAAGGATTACCAAGGTAAATTCAATGTTACGACAAATTGTTTTTCATATATAAGGGGGTTTAAATTTACGAATATCCACAGCTCCAATGAACCTGAAAATTCGCCCTTGACAATCTTTATACCACGTTTTAAAACATGTATTGATATCAATTTTGCGCCCAATTTCATTCATATGTTTCGCTATCGATGAACATGGTTTTCTGCCTCTTATGTTAATCGATCATTTGGTTTTGAGGCCATTTAGTCACATTTTTAACTACTCTTGATTGAATTGTTCGATTACCCTTTCTTATATATGTGTGTCCGCAAAAACATGTAAATTGGTAAATGTGATGAGATGTGGCGTAATCATATGTAAATTTTCTATGATTATTTGCAATCATGGGCTTATGCTTTTCAATCACAACCATATTAGCAGTGTAATAGGTTGTCGCGGTGATTGATTTTGTTGT